CAGTAGCAAAGGAACCAAACTTATGGATTCTAATTCAACAATTTAGGGTTGAAGTTCTATGTTTAGTTCATGCTTTATGTAATAATCAAGAAAATATTGAGCGAGTATTTATGGTAAATTGAACGGTAGTTCTATTATTTACGGAGCTTCAGAATCTAATCGGTGTTATCTACTTGTCCATTCATATTGGTGGCTTTATTCTGTTAGGTTTTCATTGTTGAAATTCCCAAACAACATAATAGATACCTTTTCATATGTTAACTTGGTATTTTCATGGGCAACCAAATTGTGATCAAAGGAAGGGGGTTGGTTGATGTAAATGACTGCTCTGAAGGTCTCCATTGCATAAGTTGGTGGAGCGGTTATAGTGCTAGTGGTATTCTGTCATTTTGAAATCCAGTTAAGAGGTAAGCTGCTGGATTAGGCAGCTATTCTGCTTTTCTGGCAGTTTGTTTCTGACCAAGGCTGTACATAGTAGATTTTGGGCAATGGTGTCCTACTGTATGGCAGTTCATTGCTGCTTCAAGTTCTGTCTGGAGTGGCATAATGAGCTAAGTGTTGATTCTGTGGAGGGCTTTGGAGTTTTTTTTTAGGAATTGGATATCAGTGCTGCTAATCAGATTTTACATCAAAACAAGGATGTTGTGTACAGAAGGAAGGTGCTGAGCAGGATATGTTTATTGTGGGTTGGAGGATGAACTCTCCAATCTGCACTGGACTGATATTCTGTTTTGCATTGGACTGCATTTGTCTCTGCAATACTGCACTGAGATGGAGTATGAATTACTCTACACTGGACTGGGAACTGATGTTGTAGTTGTACAGATGATGTTTCAGGAGATAAATGCAGCAGCTGTGATGTTGCTGTTTTGGTTTTCTGGAGTAGAAACTAGAAGCTGCATTCTGTGAATAATTTTTTCTAAGTGCTGGATTGATATTGTGAATGGGTGCAGCTATTTTTCTGAAGACAGCATGGGCTGTTTTTTCTGCATTTGAGGTTTGTGGAGCTGATCTGTGACATAAGTTATTTGGTTTTAGTCCTTTTGAAGGATTAAAACCAGTTTTTTGAAGTTTTTAAATTTCATTGTGACGATGATGCTATCCTGAGGTGATGCTGTGCTGGAGACTCTCATAGATCAAACTAATGGATGCTGCATCGAGTCCCAGGCTGCAGGCTTCCAAAGCTAGAGTTTTCTCTCTAGATTGAGCTGAATGATGAAGGAGTTGGTTTGAAGCTGCATTTCTTTGACCTGATAGGGCAGGAGCTATTTTTCTGGGCCAAAAAACAGTTGTTGTACATGACCTTGTTGATATCAGAATTCATTTTCTATTTTTTTGTACAGTTTACTATTTTTGTTTGATAAAACAGTAATTGTTTTGCTTAATAGTTGCAGTTTTTGATTCTTGTAATTTTTGATTTTGATTAAATAAATTTCTCTTTTTTTGAAAAAAAAAAATTATATGTGGAAAATGTATAATTTTATTAGGCTTAGATGGGTTAACCAAACATAGGATATGATTGGTTTAGATTGGAATGGATAAAGTCATGGGTAGAATGGTAAACTACTATAAAATTATTTGTGTAATCTATGGGGCCCACTAAATTATACATTTGTTTCCCAAACAAAGGTTTGGATTGGATATAACCTTGGGTTAGGGTTTTAAAGTGGATGATTGGGTTTGGCTTGGATGGGTTAGGATATAAAAAAAGAAATCCTATCCTATCCTATCCCATTACCCAAACACACCCATAGGGATCATGAATGCATTTAGTATATGCAGCAAGCCTTTAAACCCCTAGGTTACCCCTAATGGACGAGTTTTGTCCTGTGAAGTTTTCTAGAGAAGATACCTACAAACTTCCTTTTATTCATCCTCAAATTTAGAACATATTATTAAGTCTTAATTAACTTCATTTAAGAAAAATTCACTTTCCACTCCAATTATTCACATAAAGGCAAAACTATAGATTTAAATGCTATATAAAAGTACTCACATTCACATCAACATTAGAAAACTTGTGTGTGTGAAATGATTGTGCAATTTAAGACATTTATCAAACAATTTCCACATCTTTATTAGTTATCCAATTCTAGTTTCGACGCAAATCTCACTAAGGATTCACTCTTAAAACAGAAAACCTCTAATTTTAATGATTTTTTCACTCATAAGTTCTATGTGACAGAGATTTTTTTAATAGCTCAAAACAAAATATTACTCACATATATTTTTGAAATGAAAAACATTATTCAAATGAAATGACCTTGGTATAATCTCATGAAATAATGTTAAAGCAAATAAAAGTAATATAGCTAATATATCTCCCATTTCATTATTAAGTACATACACTTGCCATGATTCTTAAGATCAAATATGACTTTATTTGGGTTATAATGTAAACACCCAATCATATATTTTAAAACATGTTAAACAATCATAAATAACATATTAAATAATTTTTTAAAAAAAAGTTTGAAAAGCATCACCTAGGATTCCTTTGTTTCAGTGAGGGTTGGGCTTACCATGTTTAATAGGAGACCAGTCATTCCGAAATTGAGAAACCCTACCGGTTATAGTGTTTTGATCCGAAACTGTCAAAAATAAAATGATGATTTTTTTCAATAAATTTCATACACATACTCAATTTAACTATTTAAGAATGAATATAAAATTTATTTGGGAAAAATCACCCAAAAACTGGGTCAAATTAGCCCTGGATGGCAAAATAGACTTTTTACACCTTATTTAGACCCAGGTATCAGATTGAATTATGATTGTACAGGGACCTCCCAAGGTGTCTTAGGGTCACAACCCCACAAACCAAGGGTCCATTGGACCCCTCACGTGCTGACAAGGTCCACTGGACTCCCCCTCCACTTCATTTTCTTCCTTTCTCCTTTGTTTCCAAACCCTAGGTTCCCTACTTGACTTCCAAGCACCCTAATTCTCTCCTCTTTTTCTCCCTACAAAGCATACCCCTCACCCACTTTTTTAAACATATGAACTCCCCATATTTTTCTTTAAATCTTTAGTTTTTCTTAGGGGAGGAGGGAGGAGGGAGGTGGAGGAGGGGGGATTTGAACCTTTGACCTCAAGAAGACAGAGCCTTCACAAGGTAAAGAGTATCATTGGACCAAAGGCCCATTGGTATGAACTCCCCATAAAACCCTCTATTGAACCCCATAGATTAGGTAGCTTGAGTCAAATCAAACCAAATTTGATGAAAAATATAAATTTTCTAGCATGGCCAAACTTGCAAGTGAAGATTTGACCCCATATACAGTCCAAAACCATTTTAAATGGTGGAAATGGAATCTTGTGGTCCATTTTAGGCTAGGACAACTCCCCTCTCACACTAAAACACAAAATTAAACAAGTTCAATTTTCAAAAACCATTAGAACCTTAACCTCTGTTTCAAACATTCCAACCACCCCCACAGATCAAGGCGACACCACCAAACTTCTTCTCTAACACCCAGAAACCAACCCAAAGCTCAAATCAAACCAAAACATCCCTAATCAATAAACCCGTTTCATACCCATAAATAACCTGAAAATTTTAAATCATATTTTCATGCACAAATAGTGATCAAAACATAAATTAAACATCATAAACATATCCTAATATCCTAAGGAGGATAGAATCATACCCCTCCTTGCTCGAATCCACTTCTAAGAAAATCCTAATTTGCAAGCTTTTTACTATCTCTCTCTAACTTTTCACTTCTCGCCTTCTCACTCTTTGTATATTTCCTCTCATCCAAAATAGCCTAGTAGTTGTTCAATCCTTCCCCAAGCTGTTGGGTTGAAGGCAGGAAACAAGGAGTCTCCAAACGCAGCCAACAAGTTGTTTGAAGATGCTTGCCATGCAGTGGCATTTTTGGTAAATACCTCAAATCCAAAAATTAATTTTTAATATGTATATATATTTAATTACATACATATTAAAACAAGTCCTAGAAAAATATTCATTAAATTTTGAAAGTTCAAATTGACATTTAATTTCATCCTCCAACATCATTCTCACACCCCTAATTCTTTGGTACACACCAACCCTACTTCGTCCAAATCTGGATTCCAGCTCGTTTTCTCTTTTCAGTCATGTACCTACCCCCAACATAACACATTATTTATCATCAAAACACCTACGCACACACTAAAACTATCAATCCATAATCCGACTATCCAAACTCTAAACCCCTAATCATATTCGCATTCACTCTTGGCTCACTTTTTGTTTCCGAAGACCAGGTCGTTACACACAAACTAATCGCCTTACTTGAGCCTAAATTGAAGCACCTGAACAGAAGGACCGCAGATAACTAGAGGCTAGATTCTAGATCAGTAAGAAATCGAGTGGAGAAGGAGGAGATGTGAGTCTTCGGTGTTGTTCATCACTTCACCTAGAAAAGAAGACTAAATAACTGAGTGCGAAGTGTAGAGGTTTAAATACACAGGCGATCTAATTCATAAATTGAACCATTTTAGGCCGATCCGATTCTGATAACACTTTTTTTTTTAAGTTAAACCCATTTAGGGCAAATTTTATTAATAACAAAATTATAAAGAGAGGAGAGGACATAAACCTTTCCCCTTACATAATAAAAGAACTTTAAATACAAAATAAAGTCTTAACAATGACTGCAAACGCTGCATTTTACAATCAACGAAGAGTCCAAAGGATATGAGCCAACTGACAGTACAGTAGAAAATTAGAGGAACAGTATCGTGATAATCCAGCTGAAAGACAATGTTGGAACCGTAGTGGCTGCAGGAGTCCTCATAAAAAATTAATAATATCTAAATCCATAGGATTTCTTTGGCTTTGGCAACTTGAACATTCTTGATCATGTCATAATTATAGGTTTGACTTTATTAAGTGCCAAAGCCAAAGCAGACAACTCCTCCTCTTTTCTCTTCTTTTGCATCTCAACCTTATTGTATATTGACAGTAACATTTTAGAAGATGTCATAAAAGAATTGAAATCATTTTCTCGAACTTCTGGTGCCTCCTTCCCATCAGAGTAAAAACTCTTTGATTGCTCATGAAGAGATGACCTCTTAACGTAGTCATCCCTTGAATAAACTCCTCTTAGCTTCAAGGCCTTTTGAATCTCCTCCCCTAACATGCTTGGAATTATCTCTCCTTGACTATGAATATTTTTATGGACTACTGCCATCATTTCTGGAGTAATGGACTTTGATTTCTCCCTGGCCTCCACTGTTAAGGATTCAAAATCTTGCTTATAGTGACCATAATCCAACAAGGATGAGGACTCGTCTATCCCATCGTCCGAGACATCTTCAGAAGAAATAGAAAATCCATTCTCATCGTCCTCATCATTTAAATTATTCAGCTGAGAAATATGCAGCATATGATTTACTACTGATGGTTCTTGAACTCCCGAAGAAATACGTAGTCCTTGTCCTTCATCCAACTCCCTTAACTGTTGATTAGTGAAATTAATTGCCTTTGCCAGACTCCCCAGGTTCTCATGAACTTCGCACTGCATTTCTTGGGCTTTGGCAATATGGTTTGGGCCTAAATAATTTGAAACCTCATTGGGCTCTATATCAGAGCTCACCTCTAGAACCTCATGTGGACTGGAACCCAATATCTTCTCAATATGTTTATGTTGTATACTTTCCTTTGGCAGGAAATCTTCTCCATTATGGTCTACGTTATCTTTGCCTGAATGCTCTTCCTTGTCTGGCATATCTTCTTTTCCGACTTCCAAAGATCTTCCCTCATTAATTTCGGTGTTACAGCTACCATTTTTGGTAATAGAATCTTTCAATTCTCCTCCCTTATTCTGCTGAATCCATACCCCTTTATTCTTGGTAGTTAAATTAGGTTGCCTCAAATTATCCTTATCCTTTCTAAACCTAGACCCTCTTTCCTTAGTTTGCATTGTAGGGTTTCCAGCCTGCTCACTTTGCTTCCTTTTTCCCTTTATCGTTAGTTACTTTTTATGTCTGTGTATCAGTCATCAAAAGATTTTTTCCTTTATCGTCAACTTCCAAATCGGTAACCTTTCTTCTTCGGCAGTCATCTTCCCCATGGCCCTGCTTTCTGCAAGACTTGCAATATTTTTTACTCTTCTACCATCTTGCCCCTTCATCTCCCATGTCCAACCAAATCCTAGATGGATTATTTGACAGTAGATTAACCTCTACACAAACTCTAGCAACCCCTGGTCTGGCTAAAGATAACATCGCCTGATCATAGGCCAACACTTTGCCAATAGGGTTCATCAATAATTCCAGAAACTGCTTCTTGAAAAAATTAAGTGGTAAACCTGGACACCCACATAGGAACTATAGAAGGTTCAACCCCAGGAACAAAAGCTGTAAACCATTTAAAGAATCTAAATAAATAGTCTTCGATCAATGTAGCATCTTTTAACCAAACCTTGACATAATCCTCCTGAAGCTGAAATCTTATGAGAACATGCCTCTAGTCAATAATACCAACTTCAAACCCTCCCTTCAAACTCCATTTAGATCGAATAACCTCCTTGATAACTCCTAGAGAGGGCCTACCATAAGCACACTTACCAATGAGAGCATATTGCAATGACAAACTTGAGGTCTGAATCTCTTCCTTGGTAAAGTCCCCTTCATAGAAAACTACTGGCTTGTCAATCTTTGGCTCTATATCCACATGTTCATGATAAGAAGGTTGCTTGAAAAGTGAAGCGTAGGATTGCTGGTTCTTTGAATGCCAATCAGGTAAGCTGGATGATATTGGTTCATGTGGTTTTTGGTGACTAGATGGTAGTATAGGTTGTGATTCTAATGGTTTTGGTTGATAATCTTGTATTTTGGGATTAGGATCTGGAGGTTTTGGTGGGATTTGGTTAAGAATTGATGAAGAACTCATTAAAGGAAGAAAATCCTAGAATAGATTATAACACTGATTAACACATTTGACCATTAAAATTCTGATTTTTTATTTTTCTTAAAAATCCAACTTTACCCTTATAAATCAAGAAATGAAAAACCATCGAAGTCTGAAAAAAAATTGTGCCTTTTTTTTAACCAGAAAATGGTGCGTTAACAAAAGAGAATGTACAGCTTTAATCTGATGAAAACCTGCTAACTACACAGTTTGCATATATTTCCATATGGCACGACAATGCATAAAGCATAGTCTTGAAAAGTCCCTTTCTCTATTGACAATACATCCTTTCATATTCTTGATATAACCACTGAATGATTGAAAATATTCAAGCGAAGATTAGATTTATACTGACCCCCCCAAAAAAAACAAAAAGACTAGATTTATAGCCCTTTGCTATCTCAGTCACGTACCATGGTTTTTTGGCCTGATTATGTAAGAGTTGGTTCAGCCATTTGTCGTGACCAAGCTAAAAGTTTTAAAACTACTCTAACAAATATTAATTCCATACAGGGGCCAAATGAAAATTGCATATCAAATTTGACACCAACTCCATAATTTGTGTCCCCAAATCCAAGTTATTTGTTTACACCAAGTTCAAACTGTCTTAACACTACTTTCCGGACAGTCTTAGCACTATTATCACGGATCACTGTCTCTTCTGACTAATAAAGTTGCATCGTAATTGAATGACCTTCTTTTCATTTTTGAAAATAGATATTATTAGGGTCAATTCTGCTTTGAATATGTAAAGGAGTAGGTCCATGTGAGGGTGAGCTTGACTGTTCCAATGCGTGTTGCTTATTCCACAATTTCATGTGCTTGTAGGGTGGTATAGCCACACAGCAAAAACCATTCACCTTTTCGTAATTTAAAATATATGGCATTAGACAATAGATATGGCCATGAACATGACTCATCATAAGGCTCTCTTCCTCACTCCTTGTCCCCACAAGACCCTTGCCCTAGAAACCCTCTCTCTCTCTCTCTCCCTCCCCACCCCCCTCCTTCCCCCCAATCCATTCCTCAATTAAAGGGACTGCTCTGGCAATCTGCACGAACAGTAAGTAAACAAATCTCGTCCTTTTCTCATACTTCATCAGTACGTACTACAAACTTGACCATCATCTCCATCACCCTGTATGTCAATAGCTACTATACCTCTTTTTGAGAGAGAGAGAGGGCATCAAATCAAACGCTACAAAAGAGAACTGTGCAAGAGGACAAGCTTCCTTGTTAAAAGGGTCTAAGAGAACAGTGCCAACACCTTAGTTGGCCATTAATATGGGGTGGGACCGAACACTCACCTAACCATAAGATGACATAACCCTACCTCTTGCTTTCTCTGTTATCTTTCAATCCTTTCCTTTTTCTTTCTTTTCTTGGCATTTGACAAAGAGGAAAAACCTTTATTTTTCTGTCTCAGCTTTCTTCCTGTCATTCGGCCTCTAACCCATGAGACCCATTCAAAAAAGCTTTCCAAGCTTTTCAACTTTCTGCTTCTAACATTACCCCTTGTAGAACCATCTGATATCTTTGAGTCATCTCTCTCTTCCCAACCCCACAACAGTACACACAAAAACAAACCCCGAGCGGCTCAATCTAATACTCACGATTCTGCATTCAATTGCCCATGTTTCCTGCTTTCCTAACCTTTTTTCTCACGAAAACGCTTAAACAAGCCACCCCAGTTGCACCAACTCTCTCTCTCTCTCTCTCTCTCACAGACACACGCACAACACAAACGCGCAAACAAGCTGTGATGCTGTAGTTCTGCAAAATGGATCAATGTAAAAGACCTCTAATTCAACTTCTTTGGTTTGTCTTGGTATTCATTTTCATTGTTAGTCACTGTCATGGCTCAAGAAGCACCCATGTTTTCAAACTCAATCCAAAGTCTCAGAATTCAGGTCAATTCTTGAACTTCTTGCCGAGAAGGGTACCAATACCAGCCTCCGGTCCGTCCAGAAAGCATAATGACATTGGGTTAGAAAGCTGGAGATCGCCTTGAAGACCAATTTTGTGAAAAGGTGATATGGATCTTTTTAGCTTTATTTTGAAACAAACAACTAAGAGCTGCTTAACAGTGTAAATGGGTTTGTTGTATTCATTTTTTGGCCTTTGATAGCAAAGTTTGTGTTTAGTGATCTTATAGGTCGCTTTTGCTTCTGCTCCATACTCATGGAAAGAACAGCTGGTTGGTTTAATCTAAATATTTGTTGATCTGCATCAATTCACTTCACCAGCCCGGTAGAATTTCTAATATTTTTTCGGTTATTTACCCTTTATTTTTTGTTTGGTTTGGTTGCTGTAATATACAATTATGTACATAAGTATAGAAGAAATGATAGGTGCAAAACTCCACTAGTGTATACACACTTCTGTATGATGTTTTGTCCTCTTTCCCTCCTTTTTGTGGATATCTAATTATGCAAAATTCAAATAAATGAAATGAATTTTTTTCGCAATATCTAATTTGTTTTGTGTAAATCTTATACCTCCGAATTCAAGGTGAAATGATAACGATTTGTTCTAAAATTAATTGTGATAAGCTTAATAAAGGATTTAGTAAGGTTTCTAAAACAACTATAATCCCTTAATTTTGGGTCTATTGAATCGTAAACTATCGACAAAAAATTTGGTATTATAGTGGCTCATCACTTCAATCAATAAACTGTATATTGTCATTTATTACAACTGCAGTGATTTCAATCTCATGCGTCATGAGGGACAGTTGTGCACGTAATTTCCTACTTTGGTACTCATAATTTGACAGATTCACACACTTAACATAAGCCACATGCTGACCTGATATAACTACAGTCTATTTGATTGTTTCTTTGCCAAACCATGTATGAAATCTTTTACTGCTAAATTTTAGGCTTTCTTCATTTTTTCACTTTTTTTTTGTTTAAAGATTTTTGCTCTTCATCGATTTATTATCTGTTTTAGTTTTAGCATATGTATATATATCATTAATGTTATTGAGACACTAATGCATTTATATATATATACATAATCTCATGCCGCCTAAAGTTATTTTACAATCTCAAAAAATTAATGATCGTGTAATATTTGTATTGTAAATAATAAAAAAAACTTATTTGTTTTAGTTACAAAGTCTCAAATTACAATGGACATGACAAATATAAGAGGTAAGCAGAGGAAAGGGAAGAGGGAGGTTTGTGGCTTTGTTGATCCTACTAGTCATACAATAATTGTGGTTACATAAAGTCGGTCGGTGAGAAAAAATTGTTAAGAATAAGAATTTTTTTGTAATATTTTTTATTTACTAATCTAAGTAATTCCCACACGTAATAACTTGTCAATTGACAACTTTGAAGTATAATTTAATTCGTAACAAAGATGAATTATAAACTTAAACATGCTGAATTTAAATTTTGGCTGCAAAGTATTTATTTTTTATGAAATTTTAATTTCGACGTGAATAATCTATTTTTAACATAATAGAAGAGGAAAATTAATCGAGGTGAATAACCTGTGTTTAATCTAATTGAAGAGAAAAATTAATTGAGGTGTGCAAAAATTAACTTATAGTTATCAATTGGCGTGATTTTTTTGAAAATATTTTAATAACCGTACGTAGGTAAAATGATACTGCTAAGTCACATTTGGCATCCACTCAAAATGCAATGAGCATTCTTTTTGAGATTTGCTGATGTGGCATATGATCTCATTTTCTAGAAAGCCCTATAGCAAATAATCCCATTGCCTTTTCTCCCACAATTGTAAGTGTCTATAATTATTTTAATCAAAATGGATTTCTTAATTATAGTTCATGATTTTGTCTACAGTTTATATGTCATATCTTCGTACTGAAAAGAATAGAGTGATTATAACCCCCAACCCAACCTTGGCTGAGGCTTACTGAGGAATCCAAAGTTTGGGAAAAAAAAAAAACTAGAAATGTTAATGAGAGAAGTAAATTTCGGGAAATAAAGGGAAAAAGGAGGGGTTGTTGGTGTATTTTGGTGTGATTGATGAGGCTCT